AACTCACGACTTTGCACTTGCCAGGCAGGTGCTGTGCCACTGAGCTAAATCCCCAGCTCCCTCAATTTTTAAATTTAAACTTTATTTTTAGATCAGTTTTAGATTGATAGCAAATCATGTAGAAATTGGAGTTCCCATATACTTCCTTCCCACCAGTACCTCCAACACATACACGAGTGTGTGCATGCACACACACACACACACACACACACACACACACTATTTCCTCCATTATCAATATTTTTACCACCAAAATGGTACATTTGTTACAATCAACCCACCTTGACACATCATTATTTCCCAAATTCTATAGTTAACTGTAGGCTTCATGCTTAGTTTTCTATATCCTGTGGGTTTTGACACATGTATAATGACATACATACACCACAATAGTGTTCTCTGAGATTCCTGCGGCTGAGGTTTGGCATCCAACATCAGTATGGGGGAAATTTTCAGTCATCCTTCCTTCAAATATTTCTTCTCTTTCTTTCTTTGTAGTATTCCACTATTTAAATGTTATACCTTCTATAGTTTTCCCAAAGTTCTTGGATGATTTATTCTAGGTTTTGTTATTTTCAGTATTTTTTCTCTATCATTTTCAGTTTTAAAAGTTCCTATATTTCATCCCAAAATTCAGAGATTTTTTGTCCTAGATGGAACCAGTCTCCTAAGCCACCAAAAGCATTCTTAAATTTCTGTAAGTTGTAACGTTTTGATCTGTAGCATTTTTTATTCTTTCTTATAATTTCCATGTCTCTGATCATATTACCTGTCTGTTGTTGAATACTGTGGTGGGTTAACTAATGATCAATCTATAACACACAGCTGAGCTGAATCAATGTGGTGCTGGGTGTGGAAGGCCCACCTGAGGATTATTACCAACAGCATAGAAGGAGAACTGGAGGGGAAGATGGTGTACTATTAATTCTCCTGGAGAAGCTTATCTCATTGGCTTTCCTGATATGAACTTTGCTGTTCTCCGCATTGGAGAAGCTCAGGTCCTCACTGTCCCTGAGGATGGCTGAAGTTTCTTCAGGGCAGCGCTGGTCCTTACCTTGAGTATTGCTTCCTGGCTCCAGTGCAGATCCCTTGGCTTGCGGCACAGATCATTTACCCCGCTGGTACAGACTTTCTAGCTTCCACAACTGGTCTTTGGATATTCCCAATGCAGATCCTTGATACAGACTTGCATGAGATATTGTCATGGGCTCTAGACCTCCAGCTGGTCTCGTGGAAGACATTGCCATGGGCTCTAGGTCTTCAGCTGGACTCATGCAGGATATTACAGTGAGATCCAGGTCCTCAGCTGGATTGTTTACATCTCTAGTATGTGGACACATCTGTCACACTATTTTGCATTTGACTCTGGGTGAATATTATAAAACAATCCTATAAATTATGTGTCTTATATTAAATTGTTTCCCTTGTAAGTTTTTTGTGTGTATGCCAGAAATTGGACTCATAACCTTGCACCTGCTAGGCAGGCACTGTATGGCTGAGTTATATCCCTGGCCCCATAAATCCTGACTACAACAAATATTGTCTGTTTTTCCATTAGATACTTTAGCATACTAATTGCAATTGCTTTAAATCCAAGATCTGATAATTCCAACTTTTCTGACATATATATAGTTCTGATTCTGAAGCGTGATTCGTCTCTTCAAATTATCTTTTTTTTCTCCTTTAATATGGTTTATTTTTTTCCAAAAGGCAGATATGATGTTCTCAGCAATAAGGTGTGGGAAAGAAAAAGAATACTATAGTTTTGTGACTAGGTCTCAGTCTTGTCATGCGTTCTGTCCCTGGGATGTGAACTTCACAAGTTCTTCTCAATCTGTTTTTGCTTGTTTCAGTCCATGCGGTGGCACAGGATTACCAGCACTGGCTGCAGCTGGGTATGTCTTTTTTCCCAAGTTGCTAGACTGTGGTAAACCCCAGTATGTCAGGCTCAGTTCAAATTTGCTTTGAGGTTATGCCTATTCCCACAAAGGTTTCTGCTCATGGATCACTGTTTGGGCAGATTGTGATTCTTGGCTTTGATCTGCTTGTCTCTCCAATTTGGGGGGCAGCAGTTTGCCCTCTGATCTCATTCTTCTGACAAATGTAGGAAGAGATATTAGTTTCATTTGCCTAGTGTTTTATTTGTTGATAGATACAACAGTGAGTCCTAAGCTTTTTGATGTTGGTCTAAGAACCAGAAGTCTTGGGATTCAACTTATTTTGTACACTGATTTCATATAGAGAAGATTTATGAAGCTCTTCTATTAGTTAAAACATTTTTTGAACTTTCTTTCAGGTCTTTCCTTTTTTGTGCCTTCATATTAGGACATCAATTTGTTTGGAAAGTATTGATTTTGTACACTAGTGCTTGGGAAAATAGTTTTACTATTTATCTTAAGGAACACATTCACTGTTCAGTTTTGTATTTGTACTTTCTATGGAAGGAATGATTACATCTAGCCCTGGTTTTCTCTTTCTTGATTTAAAAATTTCAAACGTTGGAAAGGGTAAATATTTTAACAATAGTAGTGCAATAAATATCCATGTCTCCTCCATTTTAAACATATTGAAGTACTTATTTTATATTTTATCAGATACTGCCAATATTTAATGTTTCTGAGCTCAAGGGTGATAATTCTACTTGATACAGGTACAGGTAGATACAGATAAAGATATGGAACTAGATGATGTCCAATATTGAAAACTGTGGTAGGATGAATAATGCTGAATTTTCCCCCAAAGATGTCCACATTACAACCCTCAACCTTTGAATGTTCTTCCTTATATGAAAACAGTACTTTCAAGATGTGCTTAGGTGAAGGATCCTGAGGTGGAGAGGCCATCCTGAATTAACCGGGTAAACTGGAGTAGTCACAGCAGTTCTCAAAAGAGGGAGACAGGAGAAGTTGATACCTAGGATAAGACAAGATGACATCCTGCAAGCAGAGTTTGGAGTCCTAGAAGTGGTCACAGGTGAGCGATTTCAGATGGTCATTAGAAGTTTAAAAAATAAGCACATGGTTTCCTCCTTAGAGCCCAGTAAAGGAAAAAACTCAGTTCACTGGACACCTTTATTTTAACTCTGTCAGATTTATTTCCAGCTTTTAGTCTCCCAAACTGCAAAGGGGGTACATTAGTAGAGTTTACACCCATTGCGTTGTGGTAATCTGTTATAGCGTCAGCAACAACCCAATAGCTAAACTCATGCTTGCTCTTTAAATAATGTCATTCCAATTGATCTCATTTGTTCTCATTTCAGGTTTGTATCTTAGTCAAGTGAAATCATCTCAAATTGATTGTATCCACAGTGAGAAGGGGAGAGGCAGCAAAAAAATATGTAAAAAGTAAAAAAAAAAAAAAAGACAGTGTCTATGAAAAATTGGTGACTATTATCCTGTTTTTTTTTTCCCCATACTTTTCTTGATTTTTAAAGAGAATAACAGATACTTAGCTAGAAAAGGTCACATCAGAGAGCACCAAGTGCAAAATGAGCCCGGAAAGCAAAGGCACACTGTTACCATTTTCCCTTGGTCACATCCACTGAACTTACAGCCAGTGTGAGAAACATGTCTGAATACGCCTGCGTGGTCATGACAGGAGGACGCTCTCATGCAAATATATCTCCTTTTAATTCCTGATGCAGCTATGGAGTATTTTTAGTGGTCAGCAGATGACTAGGAAATGAAACAAGCAAGCAAATGAAACAACCAAGAGCACCAAGATTATAACACTTTAAAGGAACGAGTTGTCCTGTGTCAGATTGTCCAGCCCTGTGTACTAACTGTAAATGCCCATAGATAAGGTGGGGATATTGGGAAATCTCTGTATTAGAACAGCCCAGTTCCATGAATTTCACTATAACGATGCTAAGTTTATCCTTGGAAACTGATTAGGGTTTGACTTAAATAGGTTGGAAACATCCTTTCAGATACTGGCAGGGTTTGTGAAGTCAGTGAAGTTTTTGTATGGAAAATGGGAAAGAAGTCTGTACTGGGTTTTTGTGCCAATGGTACTCATAAAGAAAAGAGCAAAATGAACTTTAGAGAAGATTGCCAGTGGTGTGACTCCACAGTTTACCTGGAGAAACGAACAGCCAGGTGCAGTGGTGGGTTCTGGGAACCCCAGATTGCTCAGGAGTCTGAGGCAGGAGGATTTCAAGTTAAGGCATCTGGGCAACTTAGAAAGACGTTGTTTCAAAGTATTTTTTCATTTAAAAAGGATGAGGGTGTAACCCAGTGATAACGTACTTGCCTAACTTGGAGGAGACTCTGGTCTCAACCCTCAGAACTCCAGGAAACACGAAACATAGTGCTGAGTAGAATTTGATGGACTTTTTCATTGAAAACAACTAAAAATATCTAGTGAAATGTAAATAAATATAAACAGCTATTTTTTAAACTAATGGATGACTACAATAGGAAATTAGGAAGAATTACAGTTGAGATCTAAAATGTCTCCTAAATGCCTTACTGTGCTGCAGGCTATGCTGCCAGTTACTGAGCTTTGGAGTAGTGATTGGATTATGAGAGCTCTCACCTCATTGAATGATGAGTTCATAGTTTATTATATTTATTGGAAGGTGGGACCTAATTGGATGAGGCAGGTCACTGGAGGCATGGATCTGAAGGGCATGACTTATCCTTAGCCAGGCTTTCCCTCTTCTCCTATCCCTTCATGGTTGCCATGAGTTGAAGATCGTCATTACAATGAACATTTCTGCCATAGTATTCTGCCTCACCTAAGGCCCACAATGAAAGCAGCTGACCATGGACTGTAATCTCTAAAACTGTGAGCCAAGATAAATCTTTCATCCATTAGGTTGAGTTTCTCACG